GGCTGGGCAGAACCCTCGGGAGGCATTAATAACCCAGGGGAAGGTTCATGCTGCTCTGGCCAGAACAGGCCTCGCTGCTTACTGAGCCCCGAGCCAGTTGTGTAGGGGTCAAGCTAATGCTGACACTGGGGCCTTTGATTGTGTTTGATTCATGTGCATCCACCACTGGTAGGTCAGATGGGCCGTTAATCCCCAAGTCCCTTCCCCCTTCCCCAGGAAAAGAGAGAAGGAAAATGAGAAATAAGTGTAGTGGGTGACTTCCCGGCTTGCTTCAAGGCGCGTGATGCAAGCTGGCTGCAAGGGCTGACTGTTCAGACATGCATTTCCTCTGTGCTTTGAGGTTCTTTTGGTAACCTGGTGACTGAAATGTATTGGAGAGGAGAAAGAATCCCAGCTGGTGCATGGGACAGAGATGGGGCTGGTGGTGAGATGGTTGTAGCTTGTTAGAGAAAGACTTGATCTCCCTGGGAAGCCATTGGAGAAAGAGTGACCACACTTTGCTGTTTGTATTTAATCCCAGGGATTAAATGCCCATTTAATCTCAGCACCCAGTGGGTTGGAGGAGGCAGCGCCGGTGCAGAATTCTGTGTGTCTCCACTCATCCATCCATAGCAGAGAGTTTTCACCTGACTTAAACCTGCATTTGTATGTAATGGGGAAGGCTTTTCCAGGTGTTAAAACGTATTTGGAGTCGCAAAAAGACCTAATGCTCAGTTTATGGGCACTCTCAGCCAACACATGGAGGGTGATTAGGGGGGGATGAGCCCTCCCCGGTGGGCAGTCCCCTTGGGATTGATTCCTGCGGGGAGATGCGGCTGGGAATCGCTCCCCCGAGGCCGATCCAGACCGAGGGTCCCCCCGGGTTGCAAAGGGGGCCCGTGGCAGAGCCCTTGGTAAGGGATGGGAGGGGGGCTCCCCATCCACCCCAGCCTCAGCGTATACGGGTGAACGGGCATGAGGAGAAGCGCTCTCGGGGAATGTGGGAAGGGAAGAGCCCGGGGAGCCGGGGGGCGCAACACCCGCTTTGGAGGCTGAAAATAGCGTCCTCCAGGCCCTGGTCTGGGGATGCTGCTGTGGGCAAATGACCAATTAGGGAATCTTTGTCAGATTCGGGAAAGCCGAGATAAGTCTCTTTTATCAGCCTATAAAAATACCACTTTCACTTATCTGGAGCTACCTACGCCGCCCAGCTGCGGGAGCCGGGACGGGGGGAGCGGAGCCGCTCCGCAGACAGAGGAGGAGTTACGGATGTGCTTGACAGCGAGTTGGGGGGGGGGGTTGGAAAACCATTTTCTGCCGGAAAACGAGCCCTCTTCCCCCCGGATCCCACCCGTTCCCCTCGCCGCGAACCCCCTCCACCCGCTCCTTCCCCACGTCTTGCTTTTGCCTCTCCTTTTCCACCCTTTTCCCTGGCATCACGGCGAGGGGGGGGCTCAGCCAGGCGGCGGTGAAGCCGATGAGTTGTTAGGGCTGAGTGGGGAAGGAGCACCCACGGGCACTGGTGGGTGCTGTACCCATGGGTTTGTTAGCATCACCCCAGGGGCTGCAGCCAAAAACACCGATGTGAGCGGGTACAAATTGGTTCTATGCCCATTCGTGCTCATGTCTCCCAGCGTTGACATCGAAGCGCTCAGCTCCAGGAAGGCATCCTCACCCCGAGGCCGTGAGCTGCCCATGTCCATAGGTCCGGGTGGTTTGGGGACACCCAAAAGCCTTCTTGCATCTGTGCATCTGCCTCTGGAGGCATCTCTGCATGGATACCCACACGCCAACAGAGGATCGAGACGTGGAGAGAGTGCTAACATGCATTCCTACTGTGGGAAAACATGCTGCACTTTGATTATTTTCTCTGTGGTTTCCAGTCTGTTTGGGCTGCAGGAAAACGATCAGGAGGGAAAAAGAGCCCATCAGGCAACCCAAATCAAACCAGTGCTTTCTAGGGTTTTGAGGGGGTGTTGGTGGAGAGAAAAATGCGGCGGAAAGAAATACGGTTTTCGTTAAAACATCCCAAGCAGGTTTGCTCAAGTGGGAGCAGGCTGCGAGGCAGCGGCTCTCCTTCCTCTCCCAGGCCCACAGGACACCCCCGGGCTATGTGTTTTTTAAGGCAAAACAAGCAAATCTGGCTGGCACAAAGTTAGAGCCTCTTCAGGAGCCTTTAACCCATTGGGGGGGGGGGGGCACTGTTGCTAAACCCCAGTTATCGCGGACAGGGAGAGAACGGGGTGAGGTTGTTTCTGCTGGGGCAGGCAAAGGTGTTTTCTTGCGCCCTTTCTCTGTCCAGGAATAAAGACGCGGCGGGGCGGCCCCGAAACATGGGGTGGCCCAGGGAGGAAAGAGGGGCCGGGGAAGAGGCACCCCCCCGGGGCTGCCCGTCCCTTCGGGCCGGTACCTTTCGCACGGATTTGCTGGATTTGGAAGGGCTTCCAAATTCTTTTCCAAATATAGCCCCAGGGCGGCCGCCGGCCTCCCGCCTCCCCCGTGTGCCCTTCACGGCTCCGAGCCGCAGATGAGGGACAACCGAGACACCCCCCCCCCAATCCACAAGCCGTGCCCGGCAGCCGGGAGGAAACCCGTGGGGGGGTACCATGGAAAACACGCATGGAAGCTGCGCGGCCGAGCCCCTGCGCTTTCCCCGCGTTTCAAGCAGGCTTTTTCGGGGAGGGACTGGGATGTTTTGGTCCATTCTCCCCTGCTGTCCCTCCGGTCCCTTCCAGGAGGAGGGGACCTGCTCCGCGGCCCTGTCCTGGAGGCAGAGAGAAGGGTCAAAGGCTCCTCCAACCCACACGGCCTAACCCGAACCTGGCCATTCCCACCCAAACCCCCTTGGCAGAAAGCGGGGGCACTGCTGGTGGGTCGGGAAGCCCTCAGCTCCCATGGGGGGGCACACACAGCTTTCGGGAGAGCCATCCCCTAGGATGAAGTGAAGCCTGGGCTGGGGGAAGGAGGCAAAGGCTGGGACCGGCATCTGGGGTGGAGGGACCCCTCAACGGGCCCTTACCCTGGGAGCCTTCAAAGATCATTTTAACAGCGATAAATGCCATTCCTCCCCCCTACACACACACACACTTTCCATTATAAAAGGCTCCGCCTGGGATATTTCTCCCCCATCACGTTTTTATAGCGAGATCAAGGACAAAGTTGTTGCGTTGTGATGACGGGTCCTTGTTTGGGGTCTTTTTAGATTCCTTTTTCAATGTTATTTGGGTTTTTTTCCCAGTTGCTCTTCGGGATAAATCCCGGCTAAATCTGCAGTTCTCCCATTGCAATTAAGAGGGAGAAGGAGCGAGATCTTGATTGCTTCTGCTCGTTCTGATGGCTTCGGAGGTGGGGAAGGGGAGGGCGGGGGGGAGCGACGGGCGGGAATTGATTTTAGATTTCTCTTTTATGTCGGGTCTGGTTTCTGGTGATTAAATTTCTCTCTTATGTGGACTGAACCTCGGGATAACTGATTAATAACATGCCACTTGGCGCCAACACGGGGTCTCAAGGCCTTTAATCGGCAAGATGCACAAGAGAACAGAGAGAAACACAGAGCAGGACAAAACTCCACCAACTATTTTAGCCCTGCTGGTCTCTGCCTCGGCGGACGGGGGGGTGGTGGTGTTTCTTCATCTTTTCAGTATTTCCTGCTAAACTCGTAAACTTTATTTGATTTACAGCTATTTCATGAACCTGCTTAAACTAACATGTGTTCCGTCTTGTCCAACTGAATCATAAAAACCAATCTTGGATCCAAAAGCGATTTTTTTTTCTGAGAGAGAGAGAAACGAGTTATTAATGACAGAAAATAGACGTTGTCTTGAACGGCTGCTGCTCCGGCCCCCGGAGCAGGGAAGTTGGTGGCTCCTGCCCCCGGCCCAGGGGGATGGACCAGGGCTCGGTCCCGCAGGTACCACCAGCGCTCCACCGAGGGATGGTTTTGCGCCGAGATTTGAGCGTTAATTCCCTAAATCCCAGAATTATTCGTTGGAAATGAACGAATAAGCGTATAGTACCCAAAACGTGCTCGACTCCCAAGCCCCGTGCAGACATACACTGGTGCAGGGAAAGACGCGTGTACATCTCTTCCCCCAAACCCCTCAAAACAGATACGAAATGAGCTCCTAATATTTTCTTCCAATTTGTGAAAGCAGAGTTTTCTGTGCCCAAAAACAGCAGACCAGACGGACGAGCAGGTATGCAACACGGACGCTTAATATGCTTGGAACAGGTATAAATCTGTGGCGATTTATAGCACAAGGGCTTATAAAAATCGGGTTCACCAAACAGACTGCCAACACCAGCATCTCTGGCACCCAAATCGCCAGCTCCTTTCTCCACCTCTGCTTGGAAAAACAGTGGGGGAAAGCTACCTGCAACCCTCGGGATCGGAATCCCGATCGGCGGGATAAGTCTGGGAAAAGCTCTTTGCAAATAGCGCTGGTGCTGCCCCGCACACCCGTGGGGCTGTGCCCCTTGCTTTGGTTGCCGCAGAACTATCTGCGGCCGCGCAGCTGGGCCGGATTTACAGCTTATGGCATGGCACCACATGTAAAGGGGTAAATGCTCTTTTTTCCCCCCTTTTTCTCTTTCTCCTTTGGATATATATATATATATATATATATATTCTGCATTTAATTCCTGAAGAGAACAAAAGGAGTTTCTAAGGCGCTGTTTGGGTGATTTTACAGAATCTGTGTTTTCCTTACATGGATGAAAGATGGGGTTTAGGATGCCGTGGGGTAGCGCGGTTCCTTCCGGGCAGAGAGGCCGCCCTCGGCCTTCCTGGGAGCCTCTTCAGCTCCCGAAATTTGTGGGTATCCTGGTAATACAAAGGATAACGTGGTCATAACGGATCGGCCGGGCTCGGCTGCGCTTTCGCTCTGCGTTAATTTAGGGCAGGGGATAGAAAGCGAACGGGGGCGAGACAAGGGAGGAGAACCAAAAATAAAAAGGAAGGTAAAATAGGAAGTATAAAGAAGGGGAAAATTAGTCGTGAAGAAGGAAATAAAGAAAAATCAATTGGGAAGGAAGGTTTTGGAATGAGGTGGGTGTGTGGGTGCCTGAGCTGGTAGCTCCTGGAGAGCCGGGGCACAGCGGGGGCCGGTCCTGGTCCTGGTCCTGCCTCGGGAGGAAAAGGAGAAGAGGCAGGAATAATTACAGGTGTCGCTTGTGCGGCCTTTATTCAGGCACTGATTCAAACCCCTTCGGTCCGGACTCCTCTCCCCGCCCCCCCTTCAAGGTCATTGCAAGATCACTTTCAGGGAAAGGCACAGGGAGCTGAAGACTTTCCCCCTTTTGCCCCCATTAGCTTTCTTCCCAGGGCGAGAGTGGAGGCCTTATCTGCCTTTATTTTCTCCTTTGGGCCGAGATAACGCCCTGATTGACACCCTGTTTGGCAAGAGCAGATTAGCCTTTCCATTCCGGCATCGATAACGCGCCCCAGTCCATCGGCGCATCCGTCATTGATAGGGGCGGGGAGGGGAACCCGATGGGCACCCCATGCCAAAATGTCACCCGGCCTGGCTCTCTGAAAGGGGTGGGAAAGAGAAGTGCAGCCTAATTCTCCCTTGTCCGAACAGCACTGTGACCACGGGAAAAGTTGGATGGGAGGCCGAGCCCCGGCTCCCCCAAATGTGGTTAGTTCCGGGAGAGATGCTTTTTAGCAGCAAATTGGGGCGACAATATAGATCCCTTTTGCCCCAGGGCTGCTCCTAGCTTGACTTTGGGACCCTGTCACCCTTTCCTCGCCTGTCATTTGGGAGAAAAAGGGACCTGCATCCCAAGAGTGGGAGGCTCCGAAGGGCAGTGTTGTGTGATTCTACAGCCCTTGCCTCTGCCCGGCTGTTTATGCTGCACTTTTTGGTCACTGTTTTAAAGCCAAGAGTTTGCCTGGGAAATGAATAGGCTGAGAGGAGGGGGGAACGGTTCTTAATTACAAAGTTCTTTCTCTTCTTTTTTTGTACTTAAGTAGCCGGAAGGGTGGGGAAAAAGGGACCCCAAGACCACAAATATGGAAAGACAACTGGTGTTCACCTGTAGTTACAAAAACCCCAAGTTAAAGCAAAAAGCTCGACCCCAGGTATCTACCCCCCGTCTGAGCGAGGTCTAGACCGCTAAACGCAGGGTTTTGTCATGGAAATATAGACACGGGGAGAGCTGTATCGGGGCTACAAAGAGACCAGTGCAGGCGCTGCCCCTAAGGTAGAGGGAAAAAAACCAAACCCTCCAAACCAACCAAGAAAACACAAAGTGAATAGAGCATTACGCTTCCAAAGAGGATGATTGTTTTAAATGCTTGTTTTCTCCCAGGTGCGTATTTCGCCGCAGTGGGTACGCGGCCAACAAAAGGGAGATAGGAATAAAAGGAGAAATGGTGAAAAAGTGGAAGTAAATTGCTTAAAAATGGAAAGGGTGGGGGGGTGTAGGGGGTAATTCGTGCCGTGGAATCTCGGGGTGAGACGGGGGAGGAGAGGGAATGAGCAAACAGAAGCTGCCGGAGGCCTAAGAACCGCTGTTGTACCGGCCGGGGCACCGTGCCCGGGTCCCCGGGCGGCTGCCGAGGAGCCGCCGGCTACGGGTGGATAGCAAAAGCCTTTCCGAGTTGCTTAAGCCGCCCCAAGAAGTGATTTGAAAGCGGGGGTGTGTGTTGGGGGAAGGTGGGGGGTGAGTTCATGCTCGGCACTATTTCTTACTGCTGACACCTCGACCCCACTGCAAGCCAGCACCCCGGCCACCCCCCCCCCTCTCCCCTTCCTGTCCCTCCACCTCTCCTGGGGAATAGCCGATAGGAGAAACCTCCAGGGCGAGGGACATCCTCCGAAGGTAGCAAAAGGGCAGAGGGGTCCGGCCATGCGGCCTCAGAAAGCGGGGGCTCCCCGCGGCCTGAGGCCCCGGGGACGGGCGGCGGGGCCTGGGCCTGATCCTGCGCTTCTGACTGCGGCGGGGAGCTGAGCAAGGGAGATCGAGCGTGTGTGTGTGTGTATGTGCAAAAGGCTCGGGGGCCTCCCACCCAAGCACGGACCCCCACACACAGGGAGGTAAGTGGGGGGGGTTCGGATCTGTGGCTGCTGATGGTCTCTCCGGTGTTTCTATGCGTGCGGGAGCTTTTATATAGATATTTATATCTACTTTATGCGTATATATGTATGTATATATATATATACACGAAGTAGGGCTCATAGGTGGTGTGCACACATTTACACACAACCCCCCGAGTTTAGCGGGTGCACAGATTTGCACTGAGCTGCTCGGAGGGTGGGGACAGAATGATGTTTGTGCACACCCAAAACCCCTGGGTGCAAACCATAGAAGAAAGGTAAATATCTACATGTATACGCGTGTGTAAGGGCAGGGGCACGGCTGGCTTTGCATTTGCGCCGTTCTGCGAGTGTGCAAAAGGTTGCCTTAGCGCTGATGCACACACATATGATTTTGTGGTGTGGGTGTCTGTATATATACTCACAGACACGTATATAGACAAGTATCTATACGCTCTGCACCCAGCCGTTCATGTTGCACGTTCAATCCGAGGGTATAAAACGCATTACAGCACTGGAGCAAGGAGAAGGTGTCGTGTGTGCGTTTGCAGACCGCGTGTCCAGGCATTGCACGCACACCTATACTTCTATATGTGTATCTATAGGAGGCGGCTGGTCGCGGTTCGGGGCTCGGGCCCGCAGGAGCTGGTTCTCCATCGCCCGGCTGCAGCTTCCTTTGAGTGGGGGGAAATTTAGGTGGAGGTCGGGATGGGGGGAAAAGGATTTTATTTCTCGGGGTACAAGGGGGGGGGTCTCCCTTCCCCCCCCCTTTTTTTTCCTTTTTGCTGATTTTGGGGTTTTTGGTGATGTTTTTCCGCCTCGGTGCTGTTTGCAGAGGACCTGGCTCCCACCGGGATCTGCAGAGCCGGGGTGGGCTCTCAGCCTGGGGGAACCGGGTCAATCCAGGCAGATTCTGTCGGTCGGGGAGTGCTGCCTGCAGCCCCCTCGGCAGGGAACACTCACCCTCCGCAGCGTCCAGGAGCTCCTCGCTCCATAGGTGTTGCTCTTTAGTTTCTTTCTCCCTGTTTCTCCTCCTCTCTTTTTTTTTCTGTTGGAGAAAGCAACGTTTTAGCATCTTTTTTTTTTAGGGGGGGTGGGGGGAGCAGGGGGTGGACGGGGGGTGTGTGTGCTTGTGTGTAAAATCTTTCTGCAGCGGCCGCAAGTGCATCCCGAATCACTCCAACTTAAAGGAAAGATGGGACTCGGGGAAGCGCCGGCGGCTCCTCCGCAGCTCCTGTTTGTACTCAGGCATTTGGTGGGTTTTTTTAGGGCGATTTCTTGTTTTTCCCCTTCCCTTGTCAATCTTATTTGGCAAACAATCGCCTCGATTTAATACTTTTTTTTCCTCCGTTTATTTATTTATTTATTTTAAATCAGAGTAAATAATGGGTTCCCGAAGCACACTTGAATCTGTGCAAATAACCAGGTTATCATTTACTATATATAGCCCAGTGCGCTGCCTTCCAGAAGCGCCTGGACATTCATCTGACGAGTTTTCTGCTCGCTCTAAGAGCATTATTTAAAGAAAATACAATGAAATTACTAAATGAAGCTGAACAATGTTAATACCGTTGGATGAACTGGGCTGCTCCTGGTGAAGGGGAGCTTTGCTGCTGGTTTCCGCGTTTTCCATTCCAAGAAGGAGCGGGTTTTCCTGGAGTTTCCAGCGCCTCCGTGCCTGCTTGGGTGATACACATACATATATGAGACAAATACATATATACACATATATATAAGAGATACATACATATATGATCTATACGGCCTTACACCCGCATATATACATAAGCATTATATGTCTCGGCATGTGAATATATGTATATTTATGTGTATATATATACATACACATTATATAGAGAGGTTGCACACTCCCAGCCTCGTTGTATTTTGCATTGTACTGAATGGATTTTTTGGGGGGAGGGGGAAGGGGGGGAAAAAAGCAGGAATCTCACTGATAGAGCCTTAAAAAGAGGAGAATAATACAAATTAACCTTCCATTACTGCTGCAGTCAACCATGACAGAGCAGGCCAGTTGCGTGGTTGGTGACGTCTCCGTGTCCTATAGGAGCAAAGCTCGTGAGATAGCAGCTATCGCCTTGAACTCTCTTTATTTTATCGGAGTATGGCTGGTAATAAACAGTAATATTTAATTTGTCGGAGACCACAAATCGGCTTCTAGCTGGAAGGCTCCTTCGCCTTGACGTTTCGGTCCTGGAGAGCCTGGACTTGCCATCCTTTTCCCAGCTTCCCCCCCTTCCTTTTTACCCCCATCCAACCTGCAGACGGAAATAAATTCGATTTATTTGCATCGTTTTCAAGTTGTCTTCAAGGTGTGTGAGCGCTAGTTTGGCACTGGAGAGGTGAGTGTTTCCCCAGGCAGCGGCCGTGCTCGGGTTCGCTCTTCCAAACTTGAGGGATTTTCACTTTTTGCCTTTCATCCCGGCGAGGGGAGGGAAGCTCGGGTTCCCCCTTGCTACCGGCTGCAAGAAACCTTTCTCCTCGGTGCTTTCGTTGGGAGTTTTAAGAGAAACCCCTCTTCTTTCTGCAGAACTGGGTACCTCGGGGGATGCTCGCAGCATACGCTCGGGGCTGCGCCCACCGCGCTCCTTCCGCGGCTTTCCCCCAGCACCCATCACCGGTAGCTCCTCTTTGATACCTGTTTATTTCCCCCCTTGTTTTTCCACCCCCTGGTTTGCACCTTTCGCAGCAGCGCGGTGCGGTGGGAGGGCTCGGCCGGGCCGCCCGCCCCAGGCCCCGGGGCTGCTCCGGCCACCGCCACCTCCTTCCCGGAGGGAAGAGCCCTCCGGTTCGCTCCCTCGTTTATTTGTCTTTGGAAAACCTCCACGGCTCCTTTCCCTCTAAAAATAATGAAATATGGGGCAAGCTTTGTTCTGTTTGTTTAAGTAGCATTCTTTGGCTTACTCTCTGTGGCTACAAGTGCAGTGATTTTATTATCCTTATTTGCAACCGTTTACTGTTGGCTGTTTCTTCTCAAGTAGCAGCTTGAACTGTGGCGAACATGGGAAATGGTGCCTTCCTTACCCTACCGCCCCTTCACCCCCCCCAATAGCCGCTCACCCCCAGGTTTTTCGCTTCCTCACCTCAAACTTCGAGGGGGCTCCGGTGTTATCGCGCCCTGCGGGAGCTGGGAGCAAGGGTGGGATTGCTGAAAACTTCCACGAAATGCAAAAGAAACGGGCGAGAGGCAGAAAAAAAGAGTGAGGGATTTATTTTATTGGGGGGGGGAAGACAGGGATGGGACATACTGATGAGGAGAGGGTGGGGGCAGGAGGAGGAGGAGGGTGGGCAGAGCAGATCTAAACCATGCCATTTATTCCGAGTCTTATCAAAAATCCGCCTCGCCAATCTGGTTCTCTTCAGCCCGCAGAATGCGACAGGGAGGCTGTTTACCCTGCGCTGACCTATTCAACTTTACCCTCCCCATAATACATTAAAAAAAGGGAGCGAAGGAAGATGCAGATAAAGCCACATCCCCGCTCCTCCCTGACGGGTTGATTATTTGAGCGAGGCGAAGAGCTCCGGAGGGGCTGCGGCCCGAGGCCGGGCAGCGCTGCGCGGGGTGAGGAAGAGGATGGGGAAGGGCAGGAGAAGGAGCCTGGCTGCCTCCACAGGCGGGCAGAAGGGCCAACAACCCCACTAGGGGTCCATCGTCGAGGGGTTTTTCAGTCCCACTCCGCCGCGTTTCCTCCTTCCCCCTTTTCCCCCCCTTCCAGGTTATACCTAAGTGAGTCCATTTAGGGGGTACCCCCTCTACCCCCCCAATAAAAGGCCTCTGTGAGCATTAGCAAACATAAAGCTGGGTTTAAATCCACACCTCTAGGCTGGCTTTGAGGAAGGGGGGTGTTGGGGGGCTGTGCGAGGTTAGCGGAGACAGCGATTTATTTAAAGGGGTGAGGGAGGGGAGGAAGAAGGGGGGGGAATATTCCCAGGCGCTGAATTTTCTCTTTGGTTGGGAGAGATGGATGGAGGAGGGAGGGAGGGAGAGGGGAAGGAGGTGAGGGAGAGGGGGGAGGGCTGCTGGGGAGTTTGATGATTGTCTTTGTGCCTTGTTCTTGTTTGCCGGCCAGAAAAATAGGCTGGAAAAGGAGGTTTAGGGGGGGAGGGGGCGGGGAGGGCTGTGTGAGGGTGAGTCTCTGCGGAGCAGGATCCCAGCTGGTTGGGTAGCGGGTCCCGGCACTTGGCGGACGGAGCTGGACGAGCCCACGTCACCTCCGCGCTCCGCTCCGCGCCCGGCTCCGCGCAGCCTCGGCGGCAGCGCCGCGAACCTGCCCGGAGGAGCGGCGGTCGCCACCAGCCCGAAACTTTTCTTTTCTCCTTCTTTTTTGCGTTTTTATTCTAATTTTTCCTGCACGAGGGAGCCGTTTTCCTTTTCCTCTCTTGAATCCTCTCCCTCTTTCTTATTGCTATTTTTGTTTCTTTAATTTTTTTCTTTTTTTTTTTTTTATGTAGGGAGTAGAAGGAGTGGGGTGGGGAAAACTGCATCTTCCAGATCAGGCTGAGGTGGGGGTGGGGGCTTTATCTTGGTCTCAGGATCCTTCCTAGTGCGTCTGACAACCTGGAAGTGTTTGGAGAGAGCAGGGGAGGGAGGGAAAGAGGGAGAGAGAGAGAGAGAGAGAGAGAGGAGCAGGCAAGCAGGCTTGCATTGGATAGATTTTTTTCTTCCAGGCTGTGTTTTCACATGCTGATCCGCAAATAAATAAATAAAAGGAAATATGCACACGCGAAGCCTGATCCCATTGTAATTTCCATTGCAAAGGGGGAAAATAGACACACACATTATATGTACGGAGATGCATTGATTGCATGGAATTCAACGAGCAAGGTAACAGCTCTTCCATTGCCATGTATGTCCGTCGGTGTCTGTCATCCGTGTGTGCGTGGGGGTGACCGAGAGAGAGCGAAAGGGGCTGGCTGGGGGCATTGTTGGGCACAGATTGTGGCTGCCGAGGAGCTGCGAGGCCTCGGAAGACGGGGGGAGAAGGGGAAAAGGGGGGGGGGCTGCCCTCTCAGGGCTTCCGCGGCCGCGTGTAGGGCTGGGAAAGGGGGGGACGAGGGACAAAAGCAAAGGGGGGGGGGATTTTCTTTTCCTGTTCCCCTTTATTTTTGCCCCTCCGCAAACCCACTTGGTGCTACTTTAGCAGCGCAGGATGCGTTTCTCATACAGCCACCGCGGCCTGGTTCTGTCAAGCTGTATTTCTTCTCAGCAGCTCTTTAAAGGGGAAAAAAAAAGAGAAGGCATGGATCCCCAATTGCTCTTAGTTGATGGGTTATTTTTTTGCTGTTATCCCCCCTTTTTAATGAATATTATTAGTATTTTTATATTTGCTTTATCGCGTCTCGACGCGGAGGGCTCGCTGGGGCTGGGCTGCCCTGCGCTGCCATAGCTGGCTCCTTCTTTGTTTTAATAAACGTTCTTTATTAATGCTATTTATTTTCCTTCCCCCATCCTCTAATTTTGGCAGCTCAAGGGGGAATAATGACTCCAAGCTGGAGGGAAATCGATTCAAAAACGGATAACGGGAACTTCCCAAGCTGCAGCAAGGGGAAAAATAGGGAAACAACAGTGCAGGGAGGGGGAAAAGAAGAAGAGGAGGAGGAGGAGGGGAAGAGAAAAGCCTTAAATGGTCCCTGGAGCCACGGCTTTGCCCCCGAGGGCTGGGCCAGGGCCCGGGCCCGGGGCACCGGCTCCCGCAGCGTCCCGCGTCCCTCCGCGCACTTTCCGCACTCGGTAGCGCTTTTGCTTCTCCCTTCAGTCACTTGGTGCCAAGCTCTTGGCTGGTGTGCGGTGGGAAAAGAGCGTTTGGGAAGGAGGGAGGGAAAGAGAGAAGGAGGGAGGGGGGGCCGGGCCGTTTCTGTGCGTGATCTTTAGCTCCAGAGGTGCGGACCTGGAATCCCTTCGCTTTTTGTCCTTTTAAATTATATATATATGTACGTGTATCTATTACGCACCGCTAACAGGGAAGACAATTTTCTCCCCCCTCTTTTCCCTATTTTTCCTCTGCATTTAAAGGAGATTTGCCTTTTTTTTTTTCCTCCTTTTTTAAGGCTCTTAAATATTGTTGCAGGGAGAAGGAGAACTCATTTCAAAACATTCTCGTGTCCTCAAAACCAATATTGCCTCCATATGGTTGGTCTTTCCAAAATGAATCCCCTTTGAAACATACGACAGAGATTCCCCCCCCCCCCCCCCCAGCTACTAAAACTCTAAACTTCTTAAGAACAAAAACTAACAGATAATTCAATTGCTTTTATCTTTTACCGGTTTTTTTTTTTTTGGTGCTTCTTTGAAACTTTTACCATTCCTGATAGAGCCTTTAAAGCCACGTCAAAATAGCGCTTTTAGAACTCGCTGTGGTTACTCGCGTCAGAGAGAAACGGTGTATTTTTGAAGCTCGTTTTCGCTGCCGGTGTAGTTTGACCCTCAGTGTTATGGCTTAGCTCCCTTCAGCCCCAATTCCACCAGCCCGAGTGCGCGTTACCTTGCACAGTGTGTCGGCCGACTGATGTATTTGTACTTTTAGATTTAAACTATCTCGTTCGTCCTTTGCTTTACTCGTAACTGTGCGGAGAGGGGGAGAAAAGGCTTTTATTTGATTTATATGAATTTTATTTATATTAATTTTATTTATATTTATTTTATTATTTTATTTCACTATTTATTTTGTTTTATTTTTTCCAGTAGGGAGGGCAGAAGTTTAATTTTCTTTGCAAATGGGCCGAAATAAGGGGCCTGGCGTGTCGGTGGCATTTGCTTGGTCATTACTGGAGTGGGACGAAATCTCCTTTTTCCTTGAGAGCAATGAAGGGGGATCTCCCCCCCCCCCCCCCCGGCAGCAGCGAGCCCGGGGCAATTGGAGGTGTCTAAATCTCGGGGGAGTCTCTTTCACTCCCCCCCCCCCATCTTGAACCCCAAACCTCCAGAGTCATTTCTGCGATGAGTTGGCCGGGCCATGGCCCCTCGGTGCATTTCTCCCTTCGTCCTGCCAGACAGACCTAAAATACGCTGTTTACCTTTAGCAAAAGATGCATTCAATAATACCGCCTCCCCTTCCCCTCCCTCCCCGCACCCCCACCCCCCCTCCCCCCTCTCCTTCCCCCCCCCCCCCAAATCCTATCATCCCTTGCGGGCTGCGATAATAAATAAAAGTCTTTATTTCTCCCTCTTCCAAAGTTAAAGGGCCTCGTTCCCTCCCCGGGCAGCTGGAAGTGAGTTGCGGGCAGCGCGGGTTTGTCGGGCAGCCCTGCTCTAGGGCTCCGGCTGGCTTTCCCATCGCTAATGTATAGATAGCTCTATATTTTATTAAACGTCAGCGTTGACTTCTGCGTCTCTTATCTCTGCTCTCTCCCCATGTGTGCCTGCAGTGGGGGATCCGGCGAAGGAAGCTCGTAACATGGCGGATAGCGAGGAAGGCTTCGGGCTCCCCACCACGCCGGCTGACTCGGAGGCCAAGGAGCTCCAGGCTGAAGCCAAGCAGGACACTCAGCTGGGGGCCACCAGCAAGTCCCCCACTTCACCGCAGGCAGCCTTCACGCAGCAGGTAAGGACCCACCCTCCTCTTCCTCTTGTTTTCATTTGCGTTTCCCCCTTTTCTCGGCGTTTTCCCCCCAAATGTCAGCTCAGCTGGGTGCCTGCTGCAGCTCTGGGCGGGGATGAGCCGGTTTAGGCCCCCACGGGCTTGAGAAGTCCCACCTGCCTTTGGGCCTCATCCTTCTTTAGTGTTATTTGGGGCCGTGGTCAAGCGGGGAAGCGCACGCGTGAGTATTGGGGTGCGTGCAGAAAAGCACCCAAAATACCGGGGAGAGGAGTCTGCTGGTGAAGGGGTCCACGCGTGAGGGTACGAATGCACATGGAAGTGCATGCATAAGCATGTATTTGCTGTGCCTGTGCGTCTCTGTGCAAGACATAAACATATATATATTTATGTATATATATGCACACACAGGTACAGCCGCACTGGTGCACACGCAGCTCTGCCCCCAGCCAGGCAAAGGGCCCTGAGGGCAGGCAAGTGGGTGTCACGCGTGGGTACCCCAAAAGCGACCCTGGGACCCCGCACACCCTTGGGGTGCCCCTCATACGCTCCATCGTTTCTCTCCCCGGGTGCTGCGTGGGGCCGGGACACGGGTGGGCTCCTACGGGGGACCCAGCTGACCTCCGCGCCGCCAAGGGAGAACGGGCCGAGGCAGCAGCGGGCCAGGATCCCCCCTGCTTGGCTTCCCCGTTCCCGGCGGGGCCGGGAGCCGTCCCCTGCGCTCGGCCCCGGGCAGGCCGGGAGAGGAGGTTTTCCACCGATGTGGTCTCGCCTTCAGCGGCTGCGGAGCCCCTCCTCAGAGCCCCGCTTACCCCCTGGCAGATAGACCCCTGGTTCGAGCCCTTCGCCGGCTGTGGGTGCCGTCCACGGGAGTGCGGGTACCGGGGTTAGCCCTGGGGCTCGGGGCCGTTTGGAAATAAATTGTTCCCCCAGTCCCTGAAGCTTTTGGTGGGGGCTTCGGTTCCGTTTCCAGCGAAGGGGGGGTGTGTGTCCATTGTGCCTCCCACCCCACGGCGTAGGGATATGTGGTCCCCACGGTGGCATCCGCGGTGCCGACCTTGGGATCGCAGGGCCCCGCTGCGGGCGGCCCTTGTTTGGGGCTGGGGGTGAAAGGGATGAGCCGGGCCGGGGGACGGAGGGGACACCCCACATCACTCCAGCAGGCGAAACAGGAGCCGGCGGGTGTAAGGCTTCTCCGGGTGGCTCTTGGAGCGCCTGGGCCAAAGCGTTGGGGTATTTCTCCCTCCCAGAAGCTGCTCGAAGCCGGTCCCGGTGCTCCCGGCCCTGCCTGCCCCACACTGGTGGCACAGTGGCCCGCGCTGTCCTGCCCCAGTCCCCCAGCCAGCACCCCCAGGCCTGAATTCCCGTTGTCCCCGGCTTTGCCAGGGCTCAAGGGGCCGGAATTTCCTAGGAATGCCCCGAGCTCCGGCCCTCATCGCCCGGCCGCTTCCCTCCGAGCTTCTCGCGGCGGCCTCCCTCGTACCCATCCCGGGCTGACGGTCTGTGCCTTCCCCCTCCGCAGGGCATGGAGGGGATAAAGGTGTTTTTGCACGAACGGGAGCTGTGGCTGAAATTCCACGAAGTGGGGACGGAGATGATCATAACAAAGGCCGGGAGGTAAGAAGCGGAGGGGGGGGCGCGTTCCCCTTCGTTTCTGGGTGGCTGAATCGGCCTTTTGTGGGCCTGTTTGTGGGGGGAAGTTGCCTACAGTGGGGACACACACACGCGTGGATGCGGGTGCGTGTCTGCGGCTGTAGCCCCGCTCTGCCTGACATCGGTACGGTCATATCTCTGACATCGAGAGCTCCCCCCATCCGTGTCCGTGTGCCACGGCCTCGGGAACGCCAAGAGTGCGGGGAACCGTCTCTGCGAGGATCTAGTCAGAAGAAACTGTTTCTTCTGGCTTTTCTTAACCAGAACGTTGGATCGTTAATCCCAATTTCAGGCTTTTGGAAGCTTTCCAGGCAAATGCGAGCTGCGACCGCTTGGCCAGAAGCTACCTTTGGTTACAGCAGCTCGCTGGGCGACTTATTATTATCATTACTATTAGTATGATTATAACACTCTTAATTAAAGGAGTAGCTCGGCCCATCTGCGATTTCGCAATGCCTTACGTTGTTTACCGACAGGTCCTATTTATTTTGCTTACACCGAGGCGAACACACCCAGAGCACCCACCCACCCCATTTAAAACCCGATGCGGTCTAGAGCTACTGTTTATGTACGGATCGCGAAGCTGTTTAGATGCACAGATAGACGTGTCCGCAAATAAATAGCCTGCGGCTCTAAGTGCGTCCAGACACAGGCTTTTGGATGTGTGTGTTTGTGTGGGAGTGTAGGAAAATATACAGCCTCGCAAATCCAACTTTATTGGGATTCCGCGTAATCGATTCCATGACTGATTTAGTAGACGCGATCGGCAGATATTTATGTGTGTATTTGAGTGCGTTTGGGGCGGTTTAACCTTATCTTTGATATTAATGTGTTGGAGGATTGTTAGATTGAAGGGTGCCTAAGGCAGCGAGATGCAGTAAAGGAGTCTCTCCAGTCCTGTCGCTAAACTGGGGCAGCCCGAGAGAGGCTCTTTCCGTTACGAGTTTGAGTTAAAACCCTCGGAGAAAGGGAAGGAAAAAAGCCCTCCCAAACCTTCTACATGTGTAGAAATGTAATAGCTGCAGTTTGCAAGGGCACAATCAACAACGCGGAGTCAAGCTTTCATTTTACTCTGTCCTCTGGCGTTTGTTGTGATCTTCCAAAGTTTGCTTGAAGTAGGAGGGGAAAAGTAAGTAAATGAAAACACAGAGTCGGTTGTATGAAGTTTTAGCAGAGAGATTTGTCTCATGGTTCGCCTTCTCCTAGAACCTTGCTGCTGCTGGAAAGTGGGGTTTAAAGAAGGGGTTTGTGTCCGAGGGAAGGGGTTACAAAGAGGGAAGGGGGGATGCTGCTGGGGACCGTCAGAACCCCACAACCCGGAGTGGGACAGGGGCTGGGGGAGCCGAGGGACCGCCCCAAATCCGAGTTTATGGGGGGAGAGGGAGGGGGAAAAAAAAAGGAAAGAAAAAGGAAAAAAAAAGCAGCTCACGGAGGGAGACAGAAACCACCTTGCAGAAATTCCAGCCAAAATAGCGCAGTGGACAGAAATCTCATCTGGAGAGCAATGAAACAGACATTTACAGGGCAGGGGCTGCAGGGGAGATACGTGATCGGTTTCCTCATATCTCTAATTCCTCGTGTTTATTGTTGGAGAAGGCCGGTCAGGTGTTGTCGATGGAGTTACAGATCATTCTTCAGGTGGAACTGGATTTCTTCTCCCTTAAAAGTTAAAGTAAAACCCCATTTCCCCCTCTTCAACACCCCCCCCCCGCCCCAAGCATTAAAACCCAGCCCAGCCGCCCTATGGCAGAGATAAGAACCCGAGGCTGGGGTAGGGAGGGAGGGCGGTATTTTTAGAGGTGTGGGGGTTTTGTTTAGGCGTATTTTAAGTCCAGGGATACATTTTCATCGGCTTTATTTTTAAATATTTGGAAAGCGCAAACTAAAATAACACCGAATGTTTTAAGTCCCTGCCTTGCAGTAATGGAAACTATTTCGAAAAGCCCCTGTTCTTCAGCGTGTATCCGAGCGGTTTCCAAGTCTTTGTCAGGTGTGTTTGCTGATGTCCCCCTCGCACGGATTTGGTGGGACACCTGAGTGCCTGTAGGTTGGGGTGCTCTTTCTTCACGTCTACACATTCAACTGTTGATACACATAGAGGTGGTTGAAATATATGTATTTTAAGTATATATATTTATAGAGACACATATATTTCTTTGGCAAATCTCCCCTCCTGTTCCAGCCGTTTATGTATAGAGGGAAGTAACTCGCTCCCAAAGTTCTCATGATCAGATTTTGTTCAAAGAAGGGGGAGTCGAAACAAAGAATACAAATAGGAATAGACCGGCAAGAACACGATTGGGTCAATATCAAACCCGCCAGCCTCCTATTACGGTTCTGCCTTGATGAATCGCCTGTTTTGCCTCAGCTGGGGGCTGGAGGAGCACCCAGCAGCATCCAAACATCCCCCCTAAGGGGAAGGAAGGCTGCAGTCCTCCCCTGGCCTTCCGGGAAGGGAGAATGTGGCTTTGCCCTTTTGTTAAATGACCCCCCCTCCCGCAAACACCCACGCGAAACCACCTTGGAAAACTTTCCCTTCTCCGCTTTTAACCTGTGTTTTTCTTTGTTTTCTTTCGTTTTTAATAGGCGCATGTTCCCCAGTTACAAAGTGAAGGTCACTGGACTTAATCCAAAAACGAAGTACATTCTGCTGATGGATATTGTACCAGCGGATGACCACAGATACAAATTTGCAGATAATAAATGGTAGGTGTGCGTGGCGAAAGGGGAAGGAGGAGATCTCTTTGTCGGTCTTTTTGGGCTGGGGATACCCATGAATAAGGTGCTCAGTGCTGATTTTTATCTCCTGGAAAGGAGAGATGTTGGGTGCAGGGTCTTCACCTGAGCCTCTCGGGATGCTCCCACGGTCCTTGGGAAAGGCATCCATTAGCTAACGGTAACTGTAATCCTGTTTGACGATGGGATTATTGGCTATTGTAGAGCTGATAGTTTAATTGCAATAAGAAAGGGACTATCTCCATCTCTAAGGATTGGGCGCCGGCAATTAGGGAGGGGGCGGTGGGGGGGAATGATGGGGTTAAACTGGGAAATGGCGAGAGCCAGCTCCGGCGGGAGAGGTGCCAGAGAGCTCAATTAATTCCCGAGCAGCGTTTGTAAACGCTTTTTCTCCCCAGGAACGGCGTGGGGACAACCGGGTGTGTGTGGGGGGCACCTACGGGAGAGGGTGTGTATTAGGGTGGAGACCAGGAGCCCACGGGAGGGGATGGATGGGGAACAGGAGCCCACAGGAGGGGATCCTTTCCCGGCCGGAGCTCAGGGCCCGTGTCCCCCCCCCTTCCTCACAGGTCGGTGACGGGGAAGGCAGAGCCGGCCATGCCTGGGCGATTGTACGTGCACCCCGACTCCCCGGCCACCGGAGCCCACTGGATGAGGCAGTTGGTTTCCTTCCAGAAGCTCAAACTCACCAACAACCACCTCGATCCCTTCGGACATGTAAGTACGGGAGAAGGGAGGGAAAGGGGCACAGCCCCCCCCCAAGCATGCTCACAGTCCGCTCCCACAGCGTGTCAAGCACCAACGCGTGGTCCCCCCACCACTGTTAGCGCTACCAAGGGCATGGCAATGTCACCCATCTCCAAATCCAGCGGGTTGGTGGGGTGTTGTTCTCTTGCCTGAGAGAGTGGGGTAAACGCCAATGAAGGATCCTCCCTCTCCCGAGAAGTGGAAGGATAAACCTTAAACCTGGGCTATTTCTCAGCACTGCATGGGAATTGGTTACAGATCCCCAGGGGTAGAATCCGCGAGTGGGAGAAGCTCGCCCGGCTTAATTGAGTGTTCAGCTACCTGGTTTTAATCTCATGGGGACCCATGGAGCGTTAAAAATCTGCTCCCTGCCTCCGTGGGTTTGCCCAACAGGTAAAATCAATCAGGCACAATTATTCGAGGGAAATAGGACCTAAAACCGTGCGGATCCCTCGATCCAAAGAAAATGCAGCAATAATTAAAGACCGTAATAATAATAATGAGAAAGTAATTGAAATCCCGCTAGAGCTTCTTGGACATAAAAAGGGCTTTGCTGGACCCGTGGGGCCATGAAAGCTTGTGTGAATTCTGCAGCCAGAACCAGCCCTCCTTCGGAGCTCCCCAAAGATGCTTGGTCCTCGGAGCGAATATATATGCGCGTGTATGAATAATATATATCTCTCTATAAAATATATAATTACTTAAAGGGGTATGCGAGTCCAGATCCCGCCATCTCTTTCCAAGAGCATATTTTCCTCCAGTCTCGTTTCTGCACTTTAGTTTCATTTTTTATTCAAAGTCTTGGGCTTTTTTCTTTCCTTTTTGTTTTTCCTTCGGTTTTTAGTGATAAATCTCGGGCTATTCAATCCTTGCCCATGTAGTCGCTGAGAAGCGAGGGAGGGAGCTGTTGGAGAGAGCCCCCACCCCAATGCTGAGCATCTTTTACGAGCTCCTTTTCACCTCAGCTGGGGAGGGGTGCATTTATCTTATTTTTCTTTTCTAATGTCAATTTTGGTTCATTTTTTGCCTTGAGCTACGGACAAAGTGCTTTGCAAGAGCTGTTTTTCCAGGGCTCAGCACTTTTCCCACTCCTCCCCCGGGGAGGAGGAGGGGAGAGAGGGGACCCCACAGCAACGCAGCCATGGGGGGACCTCTCCTACCCCCTCGGTGGGGTTTTGGGGGGCATCACTGGGGGGCCGGGGCTGGGCATCCCCCGCTGCGAACAGGCGGCTCTGGGGAGAAGTCCCTCTAAACAAAGCGGAGGCGCTGGGGAGACAATGAGGGACTTCAGAGGAGGAGCTGCACCAGGAGCCTCTCAATTAGAGTCGCTGTAATGAAATTAAAAGCCATTAGATCGTTCACCGTTGATGTCTACGACTTTCCTGGATGTCAAAGCAATTTGCTTAAACCCCCGGGACGGGACGGGACGGGGAGGCGGCGGCGGGGCGCGCTGCGTCTCGCTGTCGCCAGGGTCCGGCAGTCATTATCGCGACCGGGCGGCCCCCCGCCACCTTCCCCCGAGATTAACCCGGTACCGAGCAGGGCCCGCGTTTTATCTTGAATTTAGGTCCCCGACCTCCTCCTCTCCCATCCTCTGCGGGACACACTAAATCCCTCAGCCCCCCACTTCTGGTCTCTTTGCCCTCACCAGCAGCACGTTCAGGATGCCCACGGATGTTTGGGGATCAGCTCCGCTTTCCCCCTTGGGGACACAGCAGCACAGGCCAGGGATGGAGGCGGGAGAGCAGCAGGGAATGAGCACCCCTTTCACAGCATCACCGGCCCTGATGGGCTGCTTGACTGGGGTGGGGGATTCTGGAGTGATGGAGATCACACTTGGGGGGGTTTGGGGGCTAAGGAGAGCGAAGGCGTTGGGGAAGAGAGTGCCAGCACCTGCGGTCCCTTCTCCTCCCCTTCCTCCTCTCCCCGGACACCTCCACTCTGTAACCCCTCCATTCCCACGGGATGTCCTCTTCTTCTTCCCTTGCCCAGATCATCCTGAACTCCATGCACAAATACCAGCCCCGGCTTCACATCGTGAAAGCGGACGAGAACAACGGTTTCGGCTCCAAGAACACCGCCTTTTGCACCCATGTCTTCCCGGAGACCGCCTTCATCGCCGTCACCTCCTACCAAAACCACAAGGTGAGGGGCTGGACCGGGCCTCGCACCGGCGAGGCGTCCCCCTCCTTCCCTCCTCCCTCCGCTGCTTTTCCTTCCCTCCTTTCTCCTTTTTCCTCCCTCCCTCCCCCCCTTTTCTTCCGTTTCCTTCGTTCTTTCTCCTTCCCTCTCTCCTTCTTCCTTTCCCTATCCCTCCTTTCCCTTTTCCCCCTTTTCTCTTTCCCTTTCCCCCCTTTTCTCCTTTCCCACTCCTCCTTTTCCACCACCTTCTTTTCCCTCTCCTCCCTTCTCCCTCCACCTCCCCTCCTTTCTCCCTTTCCCTTCTCCCCCTTCCTTCTCATCACCTCCCCGTCCCACCCCCTCTGTTATTCCTGGCCGCACAAAGCATCCACAGACTGGGCTCAGGGCGACCCGGGGGGGAATTAGCTCAACAGGATGGGTTGCTCCAAGAGGAGCCGACCAACCGGGGAAGTTGCCTTTATCTCCCCCCCACTGCCGCCGGTTCCAGCCTGGTGATGATGGGGGGGGGGGAGCCCGGCGCTCTCCCCCAGCAACCGGGGGCCGATAACTCTCCGGCCCTTGGCCCAGGGAAGGGCCCGGCCCCAGCCGGGGGCTGCGGGTGGCAGCGGGGGGGCCCTGCAAGGAAAGGGAGGTTCTGACCCCAAGATCAGATCCTGCCTGCCCGAGAAGAACAAAGCAGAATGTAGCTGAAATAAGGGTTTTCTTGGCTTGGTTCCCCTTTGGGGGACCCCACTTCTCATCTTCTGGGCTTCCCCATCCCTCGAGGAAGAAAGAGGAGGAGGAAGGCTCAGGGTGGGAGTCCTCAGCAGATGTATTAGTGATGCCTTTCACCAGCCGCCCCTCGTTGCTGCCTGCAGACCATCACTAGGGCAGAGCCCCGGGAAAAGCCAATTATTTTTCTATGGGGAAAAAGAAGGCAAATTCCCCCCTCAATCTCATACAAAGCAATTTCTACAAGCTTTTAGTTGTACTTACGGGCAGGTAGGATGGTTCCTTTGCACTTGACAGAGCGAAATCATTGTTTTTCAAATGGAGAAAGGTCATTTGACACCCTGGCTAAATCCTAGATGCTCTCCTGGAGGTGTAAGTAGGGAGCTCCTAAACCTATGCAAAGCAACGGTGTTATCTCCGGCCATCAGCTGGCAAAGCAGTTGCAGAGAGTAGAGGTAGAGAGGAGGTAGAGAGCTGGGGAAGAAAGAGTGTCTCACCGTAACTAAGGAGAAAAGAAAATACTTCCCTGCCCTTTAAAATAGGAGCTGTTGGCACGACCAGGACAAGCAAACTGAATCCAAACTGAGTCCCCGCCAAATTATGCCTTAAATTATAACTCCGCTGTGGATGCTATAAAATCAAGTTTAACTTCTGCTTGATGGATTCAGAGAAAGAATATAATATTAATAGAACTGGGAGTTAATAAAACAGGACACACTGCTCGTTTTAAAGGCATTTCCCTCTGAGAAAACAGACCTGAATTTAACTGCTTTCCTTTGATGAAAAATAGGACTGGTTTATAGAGAAAGGAATTATCATGCAAATAAAAGCAAAGCAGAAACATCGAAGTACAGTAGTTTGGGAAAAGTGCCATATTAGGAGGAGCAGGGCTATTTGATTGTAAATCAACAACATCTGTTTGATAAGAAATGACATCTGTGTATCCGTCTATGTCAAAACATAGGCACTGACAAACGCATGAATCCCTACAGACACACACGCTCGCATCCCACCAGACACATGCACCCACCACTACATATTTTACACACCCCCCTACACGTTTTACACACACTTACATCCCCCCTCCCCTCCCCGACACACGCATTTCTCCTCTCGCTGCACTGAACCATTGGGGAAAACGAGTGAAGAGTGGCTGTAGCCCCAAGATAAAGCCCAATTGAGGAAGATAGAGCCATAAAAAGAAACCAGGGAATGAGCTACCCCAAATGGCATCTCCCTCCAGGGAAGGGAATAAAATCTGTAGCTTGCCCCAGTGCAGATGGGGAATAATAGCAGTGGTGTGTAGCTGATGTTGCAGATGATGGCTGGGTGCAAGGGGTGACATCCTTGGGTGGCAAGTGGGTCTTTTTCCATAAGCGGACCCCCATGTTCAGCTTTCCCAAGTTTTGCTTGGCGAAACATCTTCCCATGTTGCAATGCAGACTGTGTTTCCTGTTGCCATAAATGATGGTCACAGTCCCGCTGGTCTGTGTCTGTCTGTACGGAGCTCCCCAAGGGGGGTCTGCCTGTCCATCCTTTCCATCCCACCTCTCTTTGTCAAGGCACTACCTATTTTTTTCCCATTTCCAGCCATCCCTCTTTCCCATCCATCACCTGTAATGCATCCTTCACATAGGCTTTCCTATCTGCACAATCACACATAACTTGTATTTGCCACCATATTTTACACATTGCTTTATACACCCATGCATTTTACACATATATGTACACAAATTCATGCGTTTTAGGTTTCAAGAGCTACATTATAGGTAAACTATATTATTAATTGTATGACTGGCCCAGAGTTTGAGCCTATGCTTACACAGCTTAGAGAAGTACCCGAGTTCAGATCCCTCAATTCATTTCAATAGCACAGCTGCAATCTCAGTGTAGGACTTGTGCTTATTTCCCCTGATATTTTAGGCAGCCTGAAAAGACATTTAAGCACACTGGGATCACCCCCTCCCCAGCCTCGCTGCCCAAAAGGAGGTTTAAGCTATGAAGAAAGTTTAGGTAAAGTTTTCAGTGTGGTTGTCAGCAGCTCGATCGATCGCCTCCCCCTTCTCTGCAACCCAGCCCTCCCCCCCACCCAAAATATTGAGGTGTTAAAATAGGTCACATGCACATTTCATTTCCTTGCCATTTACACAATGGGTGCTTGCAATCAGGTTGAGTCCCTAATATTAACTTTCCCCTCCAGTTAAGTCCCGTTTTGCTGTAGCTTAAATCATTGTGTTACTAGCTTGTATTTATTAGGTACTAGCTCAGTGCTTAGGACCAGGAAATGAACCCTAATAGACAGAAATAATTAAGGTTCTGCCCTCATGAGGGTTCTTTCAAAAGCAAGAATTCACAACAATTATTCTCATTAATTTTTACAACCTACTTTCCCCCTTAGCTGGACTTGGGCTTTATATTGTTTTTTCCTCCTCAGGATATCCAGGTTTATGCCAATATTCCTCCCCCTGCCCCGGCGTTATTTAACATTCTTGGTAGCCCAAACTCCTTTAAGGAAACATAATCCCAGCTGGGATGCTATAGGCACCCAGAAATGCTATATCCACCGTAGCAAAGCCAGGGAAGAATCTGTCTGAAGAAGAATTGGATGCACTCCCAGATGCCAGTGGGCATAGACAAATGTCCTGGGGGTGGCTTTCTGAATGTAGAGGTTCATCCCACCCCCAGAAAGACCCCTGTGCTAAAAGAGCACTGTTAACTTGGTGTCTCTTCTCTGAGCATGTCGTCTTCTGCTTCTCTATCAAGGTATCTTGCAGGCCTTGGGGTGCTTTGTCCTGAGAGCTTGGTTCTCCTTGTCTTTGGTTGCAGTTCCTTCGCTTCAGTAGAGGTCACCAATGTAGCGGCCCAGCTGGCATTCCATGGAGTGCCACTGTGCAGAGGCTGGACCTTGTCCAGTCCCCCGGAGGAACCCTGCAGGGCTGTGTTCCCCACACTCTCCCTGCCCAGCCTGGAGCCATTGTCTTCTCCATGTCTTCCCATATCCATAGCAAGAAGGGGGAGCCCCTCTGCTTACTTGGTGGGTCCCCCAAGTGCTGAGAGAGGCAGGGATCCCAAGAGTTAAGGGAGGTGAGACCATGTATCTCTCTTCATTATCGGGACTGGTGGCTTCTGGGCATCCCTTGGTTGCTTCGGGGTTGCAGTGAGCTCTTTCCTCACTGACCTTCTCCAGGGCTCCTCACATCTCTACTTTCAAATGCTTAGTCCCGTTATAGGCTTCAGTGGGAGACAGTTCCAGGCTTCCTTCAAGAGGTCTTGCGTCCTTCACAACCTGTGTATGAACCAGTCCTGTCTCCCTCTGCACCTTTGTCTTCAGTCTTGTGCCTGCCAGCCATGGGACGGGGTTCTCAGCCCAAGCTCCTCAAAGACATCCTATCTCCCTCCAGCCTCACTCCTGCCTCTGACCCACCTCCTTCCCACCCCCAATCCAACACTGTGCAAGGTCTGTCTCTTCCCGTCCTCCGTTCTTGTCTCCCAGTCCAGCCAACAGCCTCCTCAATGAGCTCCTCTGTCTCACACCAGTACCTTTAACCAGCCATTAGCTCTCAGTCCCTCCCATTTCCTTCACTGGCTTCTGGGTTCGTCATCTTCTTCCTGTTGCCAGCAGCCCCCCCTTCTCCTGGCCTTTACTTTGGGCTCCAAGTCCCAGCTCCCCATCCAGCTCCTCTGTTTGGCCCAGCCAGATGTACGTAGTCTCAGCAGGCACCTTGTCTTCAGCTATTTCTTTCCTTCCCACTTCTTTGGGTTTGGCTTCCTCCTCCCCACTGACTTGGTTTCCACCTGGGGTATGTGAGAGTGCAGAAGAAAAAGGCTTTGTGCTTTTGAGCCTGAAGCCCGGCATGCTGAGCAGGACCATGGTTACCTGCAGGGCAAGGACAGCATGTTATCCCCACAACATGGGGAGGTCCTTGTGTGCTAAGCTTGAGGGAAAACACCTCAACCTCTTCATCACTAAATGAGGTGACCAGAAGGGTGACTTTTTTACCACTCATGTTCACAAGAAAAGAGCTCAGAAACTAAGGCTCCCCATCCCTTGCAGAACATGAAGTCCCTTTTCTACAATGCCCAGCCTTTAAGACAGTTTCAGAAGTGCCTCCAGAAGAGCCTGGGAGGGTCAGGGTAGTATCTTTTCTCTTAGCTGAAGTGCTCCAAAGAAGTAGGACCAATTTGGCAGATGGCAAATGAAGTAAATAAAACAGAGCCCAGGGCATATACCTTGCATGGAATGTTTCAGTTTTGTAAAGAGTCTTTCCTTGATGCAACTAGATGCAAATTTTATCATGCTGGAGCTAAAGATGCTATTGGAAATGTCTCAGCAGATGTGCTTTGTGGTCAGTTAGCCCAAAGAAAGGAATGCAGAGGAGCAGTGTTGAGATTTCATTGGGAACTGTCGCTTCCTGTTAAAGTGAAGATGAACCCATGGGTCATACAAGCCCTGAAAAGCATCAGTCTAGGAGGCTTCACTCTGGAAAGCTCTCGTCTCAGAAGGGTCCGCATCAGCGGTCAGCAGCGAGCTTTGCCATTAAGTAAGAAATGCATAGATGTAGCCCTATGGTTTTATTGAATCAGTGCTGTATAATTTAGCCCTGGGCATTCTGTCTTAATGACTTTGCAGGACGTTGTATTTCAGTTTATTTTTCATGATGTAATTGTCATTTGACTTTCTGACAGCTTTTTCTCCCCCCTCAATGAGTTATAGTCAATTAAACAGAGTTTTGCTATGGCAAAGCTGATCCAGAAGGAGGTTATTTCCACCCACTCGTTTGCTTTTCCACCTCTGAAATAGTTTGTAAGTCAGACAAAAACTGGCCAAACAAAATACCTTCCCCAGGCTGTTTTCTAAAGCAGGGATTCACCACCTCCTTCTCTATTTTCTATTTTGTTGTGTAGGGTTTTGTTAAATCTGGCATGGACTCTTCTGGTTTAATGCTGGGGCTAATGCCTTGAGTTACCATCTAGGGAAACTGTTCAGAAAGCTTCTCCTGAAATCCATCTGAAGCCCACCAAAATGCTGAGACCTAATTTAAAACCTTCTCTAGCTCCTGGTTTCTAGATGCCTTCAATCTAGCAGATCTCTAACTTTAAAGAGGCTAAAGTTGGCTATGCTTCACTTGGGGCATTCTGCTGCCGACACGTGTGTTTGCTCATTAAGTGTGTTCATGATGCAGGTTAGGGACTACTCATGAAGCAATGTATTGACAAGATTGAGGGCCCATATGATATTTTGTCTGATGTTTTGTGGGTAATATGGTCTAGTATGAGGCTTCCTTGCCCATGGCAGGGAGTTGGAACTAGATGATCTTAAGGTCCTTTCCAACCCAAACCATTCTATGATTCTATGATATAAAGGCTTGATTCATCAGACACAGCATTCATCTGAGGCCCTCAAATCAGGGGCTAGCATGTTGATGACTCCTCCTCCAGTGAATGGAGAGAGCTGGGGACCTGTGAAGGCAATGCTGCCCACCTCAGAGCCCCAGTGCCCTCTGGCAGTCCCCATCTCCCACCACTTATTCCAGCAGGAACACTGAGAGACGAGGTTCCCAGTGCAGGCGCCTTGGTTAAAATGCCTTCGGTTAGGTTGAGATGAATCTGGCCCTTTGTACATCTGTGTGCTGGTGCCAATGTTGTAAATCCTTGCTCAGTGAAGGACTTCACTTATGCAAGCAAATATTGCCATTGGGTTCGGCAAGGGAGGACAACTCGTACATTTAGTGTGCTTCAGAATGCAAATTGCCTAGAAACAGTCAAACTTGAATAATGCCTATTATTCATTCCACAAGTGCTACCACCTCTATAGTGGAAACCAGTAGGTAGTTTCTTTGCAAAATACTCAGCTGGTTGTCTAATTATGAAGGACTTATAATTATTAAATGTGCCCCCATTTTACTGCTAGGAAATGGCTCAAATGGCAAATTGGATCAAATAGATTGGTTGTTTATCCTTCTCTTTGAAATCTGAAATGTATGACCAAAAAAAAAAGTAGTTCAATGCCCTGTTTAGGTGTTACATTAGGTCCTGATTTAATAGGAATGCCCATGGCGGCAAGTGTAGGGGTGACAGGGGTCTTTGTGTGAATTTTGAGGCTCAATTAGGCAAAAATGGCAAGTGAACAAATAGCCTTTGGGAAAAAAACATGCTATAAGACAAGAAAATAGCAAAATAATTTGGTTGTGCAGACACCTGGCAGGGTTTGCTATTGACACTAGCTGAGCCAGGTTTTTCTCTTTGAATTCTGGCAAAGAGGAGGGTCCAGTTGCGTGTGCTTGACTTGGTGAACATGAACCTCTCTCTGTTCTCCCACCATTAATCTTGGGCTCTTTCCTTCCTGTTGGCCAACTTTCAATAGGAAGGAAAGACAGTGTTTCCATAAAATGCGGTGAGCACAAGGAGTTCCTCCAATGGCAAACACAGGACTCTCTCTCCTGGGCAAATGCAAGTGGTTTTCCCAACTCTTGGCTAAGGGCTTGGACTGCCAGGCAGTGATGGAGAAAGAGAAGAAGGGGAAATGTTGTCTGTTCTGCCTCAATATTAGGGCATTGCAGCTAGATCACATCTGATCCAGATTCAGTCCTGCTCTGCAAAGACCCCAAAGCATTTCCATTGCATTTGACATCCAGAGAGAGTTCATATGATATCACTAGGGTGTTTGAGGGTGTTGCTGCTCCACAGTTACTGTTGGCTTAAATGACAAACCCTGGCTTGAGAAAACCTACTCACCTAAGCATCAAGAGGGATGTGTGAAGGAGAGGATTACACCTCAGTTGCTTTGGATAAGCATATATTCTCTAACATATAAGAGGATCAAAGTTATGAGTCTGAGAGGGATTAATCCTGACAAGTTTTAGATGCTGAAGGCAGCCAACCAAGTGAGCAAGCTAGTCCCTGTTAATTCCTTGTAGAATGAATGGGGAGGCAAATATTCTTTTGAGACATGATGGTCAGAGGTGGAGCTGTCCTCCAGGTAAATCTGGAAGTTAGTCCATGCATTGCTTACAGGTGTGGGGCTGGTTGTGGAGGGATGTCAGATGTGGAGCACCTGGAGTACATTTAACTGGTCTGAAATACATAAAGGGTGAGCCTCAGCAGCCTGAGTAGTGGGATACAGGGTTAGAGAGGTAAGGTTTTGGTCATGGCTGTACACTGATGAGAAAATACTTATTAGTGTTGGTGGGATTTGTTCAGGCAATGTGACTTTCCTCCCTGGTCCTGCAGTCAGTGCAGCCTTTTCTGTCCCAATAGCAAAATGAAAGTAACTCTAAGAAAGCAGATTTTCTCCAGAGAGAAATCTGTGTGTGTGTGTGCAGTCCCATGTGTTAGGGACAAGCCTAAGAGAAGCGAGAGGTTGTTGACAGGAGATATTTTTCCAGTGGAGCGATGTAGAGGAAGGCCCATCTGGAGTGGTCAGTGCCTGAGCTGAAGGAAGACTTGAGTTCCTGAAAGCTGTGTTTTCCACCACATCCCTATCGGCTTGGGTTTAATAAACAATATCCCCTCTCTCCCAGGCCATGCCTTGGACTTGTGATGAACCCGTTGCATTTCCTCCCTTTCAGATCACCCAGTTAAAGATTGAGAACAACCCCTTTGCGAAAGGCTTCCGCGGCAGCGACGACATGGAGCTCCACAGGATGTCCAGGATGCAGAGGTAACTCGTGCCTCTGACATGGGGACCTGCTTAGCACCGTGAGAGCTGCCTGAGCTTTGCTTTGCATGTCGCCTTTGGCTTGAGCTAAGCCAGGACTTAGGGGCAGTCCCTTCCCTGGCATCTGCATGTGTGTTTCACCTCAAGCTCTTGAAATACCATCGGGCCAAAATCTAGGACTTCCCACTCTGAGGTGAATGCTTTAACTGCTGGGTTACAGAGGCAGGATCTCACCTGTGGTTTGTCCTCTTGGCCACAGGGATCTTGTACTCCTTCCTGACTTGTTCCCATCCAGAACAACCTCTAGCTTTGGGCTAAGCAAATGTCTCCGAGGCTGTGTGTGGGCTTAAACCTGTTTAAAACAACAAGAGACTTGGGCTAGCTCTGAGAAGCTCTGGTCACCAGGCTGCTGCAGAAGAGCTGTGGGATATTTCTTTCCCCAGGTGGCAGTGCTTTAGAGACGAAGCTCCTAGCCTTGTTCTGCAAGCAGGTTTGTTAAAGTTGCTCCAGATGCCTTTGGAGATCTTAGTGCAGAGACCTGTGTTGTGCTGGTTTCTGGCTTTCAGAGGCAGGAGGGGAGTGTTTGTGTGGTCAGTTCTGGAAATGCAGAGGAGGAGTGCAGACGTGATGGTTTCAGGTTGAAGAAGGGAGGTATTAGAAAAGTTGGGATCTCCAGGGCCAGGTGGCTGAAGAGACCTTTCTGAATGTCAGTTTTGGATGTAAGTACTTAAGCTGAAAATCAAGCCTAAATCCTGTTTAAAGGTCCTGTTTAAAGTCCTTTTCTAAATGTCAGGGCCTGCCAATACTTAACTTCATGCCTTTCACTTCACTTGGAACTTTGTCCATGTGTCAAGCTGCTTCCTGGTGCAAATGTTTTGCAGGAACAGCGCCATACCCATGATTATACCTAAGACAGATGGAGATGCTCAATATAACATTTTCCATCCAGGAGGGCAGGAGTGACTCAGATCCCTTATTCTCCAGGACCAGCAGAGCTGGCTCTCAGTGGAGGGCTGTAGAGACCTGTGCTGTGACCTTCTGTTGGGAGGGTTTTCTCCACCACCCACCTAGGAGCTGGCTGTAGGTGGTCATTGAGGCCTGGAGTGCAGATGCTGGTGTGGATGCAGGAGTCTTTTCTGGTTGCCATAGATGGTGACCTGAGCACGGCTCTCCATACCCATGCATATCATGTTGATGGGCAAGAAATAATGCCTGAAATCCTGGGAGCACTTAGACCTGTTACCCTCCTCAAATGGGCAAATGTGCTCAGGTGTACAAATATTTTCAGGCTCAGACTCAGAAAATCCAATATATATAAAATATATATATCATAGTTTTTACATATATATATGTACGTATATAAAATGTATATACACAACAGTTACTCTTCTCCATCTAAATAATCTCTGTGGTCTTCTGAATGTGCCCTGTGTTCCCTGCCTGCCCTTTCCAACGACAGCACAGATCCTGGCATAATATGTCAATATTTCTTTATTTATGGGTGTACTACCACTTGAAATAGCTTTTTTCCCTCCCATGCCAGCCTCCCAACCTCTACTGGAACTTGAGTAACGATGTCCCCTGCACATTTTTGCTGCTAAACTACCCTTTCATTATGGTCAATGGAAAGATTTGAAGGTTTACATTCATGGTGGGGTTTTTTTGGAGCCGGGGGGGAGGAGGTAAAACAGTAAGGACTATTAGAAGGGCTTCATGCCATATGAAGAGCATGGCATCTAGCCATGCTGAGCTTGTGCTAAAAATTGCTTGGCATTTTTATGCAGGCCTGCGGTCATAGTTGATGATACAGTGAACAGAAGCACTTGGAATCTATCAACACACCCACTCAGGCCTGGCAGGGTTGGAAGGGTTAAAATCCACAGTGTCGGCTTTTCAGGATGATTTTTGATGCTCACTTCCTTAATAACTTATCCTCTGTGCCAATAGCATAGAAATGACTGTGCAGCTTTACAAAGATGTCTTTTTTTTTAAGGGAGAGCAGGATAAGATTATTATAGTGAAATAAAGACCTATTCAAGGTTGGAAATATGTGCCCACCTTTGTGCCTTTTAATATATATCTGAATATATGCAAAATTATATATAAAAATATAGGAAAACATACGTAAATCATATATATATATAAAATGTGTATTTAAGATAAAGAGCCATTCAGGGTTGAGTATGCTAGAGAAGCATGAGCTACTTTTGTGGTTTATATAGGTTTAACATACAAATATATATTAAAATATAATTAAATATACATTAAAATATAATTAAATATATAAAATATAATAATATATGTTAAAATATATTTTAATATATAAATGTATGTGTGTGTGCCTATGTATTGACATTATTTCCCAGTGATGTACCTACTCCCTACCTGGCAAGTACAAGTAAGTCTCTCTTGGCTTTAGAGCAGTGATGCCTGTTTATGCCCTTGGAGAATAGGGTGGGCTGTATTTATAGTGCTATTTCTTCCCTATAGGAAAAAAATAGCTGGAAAAAGCACTTCTTACAACAGCCTTTTGTACCGAAAACTGGTGACCTGATATAAATTAGGTCACTGATCATCTCATTAAGGGGCATAGCCATGGAGGGAATGAATTTTGCATGCTCCATATTTTCTTTATTTAAACCTCCGTGTTTTCTTTATTTAAGTCTCAAATGTTTCTGAATTCCCTGCATAGGGCTATTGCAGAGGAACATCCCCCAGCTGAAACCAGCCCTGGGAGAAGCAAACCCCAGGAGACAAAGCGCTGACCCAGCCGGGTGTATGAGCTGGCTTGTGGCATCCCTTTTTTGGGGAGGATTGGCCCCAGCTATGGGCAAAGCGTGTCCCTACACCTGCACACCTTGGAGCAGCCTTAGAGGCATGAGCCCTGGTGAAGATGTGCTTCCAGCACTAGACTTTTAGGTCCTAATGTGTTGTGTGGGGTTTGGATTGGATGGGAGTAGGTGTGTGGCTGTTGAAGATACTGCCTGGAAGTGGTGCCCCCAGCCTGGGCTGGTGTCTGTGCTCCTTCTGTGTTAAGCAGAGAGTGATGGGAGCTTCCAGAGAGCAAAACTGCTTTCTTTTGAGACCTCACCCCATGAATGGGAGAGTGGATGAAGAGCCCTCCCTCTGCTTTCTCACCTGCAGAGTCCAAACAATTTGCTTAGAGTAGATGCCTACCTTTTAAATAGCTAAAATTACATGAGATAAAGTCCATCCTAAATTACCATGTGGCCAGACCTGGTGGTCTCCTTGAACCTTTAGCTGTCAAGCGATGTGAGGGAAACCAGTTTGCTGCTCAGCTCAGAGCAGGCCTTGCAGTGGGGTAAAGTAGAAGTAGGTTTAGGTGCTGGTGGAGACTCGGCCTGATGGTTCATCCATTGAATGCCTACCCCTGGAAAAAAGTAGGGACTAAGAGAAAAGAAGGTGAAACAGAGAAGACATCTTTCAATGCCAAGAGTGAGCTCAGAGCATGGTCTCGGGTGCCTTGTTGAGGACTCTCCCTCCATCTCTGCTTGCTTCTATGTGCTCTGGCTATCTGGGTAGATGGGGATGTCTTTGCAAATCCATTTCTCTTCATGGCTTTCTCCTTCACAAAGTCTCTGCACTGGCTTTTCCTGTTTCCCAGAAGAAAAGCTAGTAAGTCTGTTCAGGTAGAAAACTTCATTCAGTAGCAATATTAAGCCTTTCAGAGGCAGATGGTTTCACTCGAAAAGTATAGCCATGAGCTCCAAAGGAGATCCAAGTTCCAGTGAACAGTGATTTCTGATACATGTTAATCTTCTTCCTGCTGCTGTTCTTTCCTGAGACGCACGGGACCCCTTTAGCAGGTTCTTTGACAGGATGAGTGCTGTGGGAGAGCAGGGTTTTTAAAGTTTTCAAGTTTCTGAGCATGAGATCAAGTTTGTGACTTTCTTGGTTAAAAAAATGAAGAAAAAAGGAGAACACACTAGAGGAAAATGCGTAGAGGGATGCGAGTTATATGGCATCTGTGTCCTGTGCTCCTGCTGCAATTGAAAACATAAAGCAGGTAAAATGAAGTAGTTGTGACACTGGGAATTTTAGGCAAAGTATTCCCTTTGGATCTCTGTGAAAATTCCTTTTGCCTCTGCTTAGAACTTCTGCTGTGCCAAAGGGAATTTGGTGTGGATAGCAAGAGCAAAACATGCAGCAGAAACCCTCAGAGGGTGAAGCTGATGCAGAGAAACAATGAGATCTGCCTTGCAGATGCTAGTGTAGGACTTTGCCCTTAAAATGCCCCATGTCAATGCAACTGTACTAATAAACCATAGCTATTGGGTGACCTGGGGGGTTGCATGCAAGTTGTATCTTAAATCTGTGACCTCCACAATGCAGTGGGGAAGAAGTGTTTGTGGGTCTGGTGCTAAAGCACTGTAGAAGAGTAATACTGTTAGAGCATTTAAACAAGTTTTGTTCATCATCTGCAACTCCCGCTGTCTTCAGCAGTTATTATGGGTGCTGAAGAGCTGCTGAAACTCTCAGGCCACTGTTACTGTTTGTTCAAATTAATGCCATTTAGTCTTTGAAGCTTCTCATTGGGAAAGCTTTTGAGAGGGAAGATGATTATGTGAAAGGGTGGGTCTTGGCTCCCTTGAGGGATATCTTGAAACCTTTCAAAGTGAAACACAGACCCAGAACTATCCACTGGACAAAGACAAGTGGCAGTGTAGTTCATTTGACGTTACGTACCCTGCTAACGTCGTGTTTGACTGATAGGTCTGTTTGATGCAAGTTGGTCTCAGTCCACTGCAAATGACCTTTCTCTTCTTGAGTCTTCTCATTGCATCTTTACATTCACGATCATTTCCCATGTTCTGCACTGAAATCTCCCAAGAGCCACATGCTGTCTGAAACATTTTTAGTGTGAGAATTGGAGTTATAACATCTGTTGGAGAGATGATGCTTTCCTCCAGAAATGTCCCCAAGGAAATTTTCCTGGTTAAAGCCCCAGTGGAAACTGTAGGCTTGAATTGTATTCTATAGAA